CAATTCCTATTATGCGGTCTGCCACTTATAACACTTTTTGATGCAGAATTAATGTAGAGTAGAGACGAAGGACAGATCATTTTCCATAATTATACATAAAATGTCCTTTGTATATTTTTTGCACATTCTTTTGAATTCTTAATACGAATGTTCTTCTCGTTTTCTCTATCGGATTGTATCATCGTGTTAAGCCTTCAATAAAATGTGATTAAACTGAAAAACATTTCTGCGCCTAAATGAATTTTCATAAAACGAGAGAAAAAATAGTCGGTCGAAAAGATGTTAAGCGGATGATGTTCTAACGGGAAAAAAAAAAGTACCTAATTATTAAATATAAATAATACCTACTTTTATTGATCACAAATGTTCTTTGTTAGTGAATAATTTTTAATGTTTTTATACGTTGTGTTACGTTATTACACAAAAGCTATCGAAGATTTAATGTCATTTTACTTCCGCGTCTTTACAATTTGTATATATTAAACTTTAAGTGCAGCATGTATAATCAAGTATTTTTTTGGCGTTTCCAATTCATATTAGTTGGCATTGATGCAAATTAGGTTTGACTGCAACGCAGAACTCTATAATTATCGCGTATAATTATGAAGCGGCGAAGTGTCCTTCGTGTACAGAAACTGAAAATTTCCGTACAGAGAGTCACAATGAGTTTATAAGATTTCTTTCATGGATTTCAAAACGTATCTCTATAAGTAAATTCCTTTCTCAGTAATTCGCAGGAGAAATAATCCTATTAAATACGAGATGCGTTGCAAAATTCATCGAAATAAAATATTGCTACAGTTTTGCGACTGTACATATACCATCGCATCTTCAATGAAGAACATCATATTATAAAATGATGTTTTGCCTGCGACTGTACGCTCCCACTGTCCAACACGCACTACCGATCATTGCTAACAACCTGTAAATAGATTCAAATATCTTTGATGACATAAAAAACTAGTCCTACCACATCACACGCGCTCACTCGATAATCTTCTCTCATTAACATTTCAGTTATTATCGTGATTGTTATCATTTCACATTAATATCTCAATTATTGTCGCGATTGTTGATTCGCAAAATGATAAAAAAATATATTTGCGCAAGGGGAAGATTTGTTGAGAATATTAATTGCAATTTGCTAAATATGTGAACAGCAAAATAATTTGGCTGTGTCAACTAAATTTTATTACTGTCGCAACCGCATCTTGCTACAAAAGCAAAATTATTTTTTCTGTGAAACAAATATTTTTGCTGACACTATATTATCAAATAACTTTCAGTAAAACTGTTTCAGCAAAACTTGATTTCTCTGTACGACTTTTTTTAACATTGGGGACAAAAAGGCTTTATTTACTGTCGCGTTTTTTAAACTATTAATTAAAATACCTTATCATCGTTCACTCTTTTTCGCTATTTCATCATTACTGTGCAACATTCGCTGATTTGCCTTAATGTAAATCAAGTGGAATACGATATATAATACAATTTATGCTACTGATGATTGCGTGATTAATAATTTGCTATAAAAGCGCAGTGGCACCTTCCATAAGATACAGTACATTATCTGGGACAAGTGAGAAACCTGAGAAGACCATTATGAAGACCATCGTCATTTTGATTGTGCTGATCGCTACGGTGAGTACTGTATAAAAAGTCTTCTCAAGCTATGTATCAGAAGTCTATACTCGCGCTGTTTCGATTTTCCCATCTTAAATTACAGAATTTGTTTTTACATTGTCTAAATCTGTTTTGAATGTATGACTACATGTTTCACGTTTCACTGTTCCAAACATAGCTGTGAATCGATATTTAAAAGTGTCAGGGATAACACGAAATATGATTTTGTATTTAAGTCGTAATTTAATAGGTCCTGTTTTTAATAATCACATGTTTATATAATATTTTCTGTTTGAAGTGTAAGACAACTTATTTTCCAATAGTTTATTAATTCTTACAAGTTGCGAAATTGCAACGTTTGATAACGTTTCGACACGAAACAATTTTTACGTATTTTACAGTAATAAATTCTCTTGAATTTTAGGGAGTGGCTTACGCCGACAATGAATATGCACGAAGATGGAGACAAGACTATAAGGAATGTGCTGAAATGTTTGGTGTGCACAGTGAGTATAATAATCACGGAACAAATAATATGAAAAATAATATTATTCTGATGCAAGAATAATTTTCTTACAGAAAAGCATGAAATAGTTTGTTGGAAATAATATTATGTTAATATCTGTCTGAAACTAAATTTTTCTCTTTCTTCTTCTCAGTTGACGTCCGAATCGATCTGATCCTATGTGCAGCGATCAAAGATGGTGAAGTAAGTATATTTGAGTTAGTTAAGAATTCTGATTCAAATTTCGTATTTAATTTAACTTCATCATATTCAGTGAAAACAAATTATTCATCAAGTAATCACAATCATTGTGCATAATTGCAAAAGTAAGCCTTTATTCTGACATTCAAAGCGTGCAAGATAATTAAAAATACTCGGTTTGACTCGTAGATTAGTGGAGTCTATTTCGTTAGTTTGATTCTTATGTTTCACGAGAAACATGTCAGTATCCCAGAAGCCAAGCCGAGTAAACTTCTATTGTAAGCGATGATCGATTTATTGCTTAAAGAGGGCCAAAAATCAGGAAAAATGTTTAATTTTAAGTAAAATAAGATAACAGTAAAAATACTGTTTGTAAAGCAATGCGAATTATAAATTTTTAAATTGTGAAGAATTAAATTGTCCAGATATATTGCACAAAGTCAATTTGTAGATTGCAAATCAACATATTAGAGGATATTAATCACGAAATTTTTAGTTTCTGTATACAGATGGTTCATACAATGCAGAATTAGGTTTACGGAATTTACAAATGCTCATTCCCGACCCAGTCAGATTTCAACATGCATCTCTAATATATCACAAATGCGATATTGAAGGTAACCGATTTTATTATTTGACGTTTATTTACTACTTCCAATTTCTTGAGATACACTCCGCATTAATTCTATATTATCAAAGAGCATAATTAAAAAAATTTGATTTACAGATTTGAATGTGTGAAGAAATGTTTATTATATTACAAATTATTTAACTTTCATGTGTTTACAAGTTAATTCATTTTATTTTTCCACAAAACTAAAATGACCCAACTTAAAATTCCATATATATGATATTAATAAGCAGCATATATGTTCTATCTGAATTTGTTCTAACTGAATTCTATCTGAAATGTTACCATTCGCCTTTTATTTTAATTACAGCAACTCGATCCGGAGCAGTTGGTATATGGAAAACAATACAATTTATTAACTGCGCTCAATTAATTATAACACTTATTGATGCAGAATGAATACAAAGTGAAAGTACATAAAAGATGATTTTTTAATGAATAATAATTTTTCAATTTTTATATAATTTTATAATTATGCATAAAGCGTTCTTAAATATGTATTCCTTCTAATTATTAGTAAGTATGTGTTTTTCGTTTCCTCTATTGTATTGTAATCATCGTGATAAGCACTGAATAAAAGGTGATCAAACTGCAAACACGATTCTATGTCTAATGAATCATTTTACCAATCATTTTACGCATTTGAATGAACTTCAATAGAGAAAAAATGCAAATAACAGCTTGAAAAAATATTAAACGAGAAAAGTTACAACGGGAAAAGAAAAAAATTTTGAGAAATTTTTAGAAAATTATTTTTCAGAAACTCTTAAAAATTATTATTTGCAAAACTATCCCAGTACTACTCTTATGGGCCAAAAATTATATTTCTTTAATTAAATTATCTCTTTCTAAATGAATTTTAGTAAACTGAGAGTAAAAAGAGTCGGTCGAAAAGATGTTAAGCGGATGATGCTCTAACGGGAAAAGAAAAAAATACTTAATTATTAAATATAAAAAATATCTACTTTTATTGATCACAAACGTTCATTGTTAATGAATAATTTATAATATTCTTTACTCGTTGCGTTACGTTATTACATAAAAGCTATCGACGATTTAATGTCATTTTACTTCCGTGTCTGTACAATGTGTGGATATTAAATCTTAAATGCAGTATGTATAATCAAGTATTTTTCTTGTCATTTCCAATTCATATTAGTTCGCATTGACGCAAATTAAGTTTGACTGCAACGCAGAACTCTATAATTATCGCGTATAATTATGAAGTGGCGAAGTGTCCTTCGTATATATAAACTGAAAGTTTCCGTACAGTTAGTCACAAGGAGTTTGTAAGATTTCTTTTATGGATTTCAAAACGCATCGCTATAAGTAAATTCGTTTTTCAGTAATTCGCAGGAGATATATTTTCCTATTAAATACGAAATGCGTTGCAAAATTCATCGAAATAAAATATTGCAACAGTCTTGCCACTGTACATACTCGTATACCATCGCAGTTTCAATAAATATCGTATTTTAAAATGATGTTTTGCCTGCGACTGTACGCTCCCACTGTCCAATACGAACTACCGGTCATTGCTAACAACCTGTAAATAGATTCAAATATCTTTGATGACATAAAAAACTTGTCCTACCACATCACACGCGCTCACTCGATAATCTTCTCTCATTAACATTTCAGTTATTATCGTGATTGTTATCATTTCACATTAATATCTCAATTATTGTCGCAATTGTTGATTCGCAAAATGATAAAATAATTTGTTTGAGCAACGGGAGGATTACTTGAGAATATTAATTACTATTTACAAAGATGTGAACAGCAAAATAATTTGGCTGTGTCAAGTAAATTTTATTACTGTCGCAACCACATCTTGCTACAAGAGCAAAACTATTTTTTCCGTCAAACAAATACTTTTGTTCTCAGCATATTAAGAAATAACTTGATGTTTCAGCAAAACTTGATTTCTCCGTGCGAATACTTTTAACATTGGCGACAAAATACAAAACCGCGCTTTATAAACGATTCAATAAAATACCTTATCATCGTTCACTCTTTTCCGCTATTTCATCATTATTGCGCAGCATTCGCTGATTTGCCTTAATGTAAATCAAGTGGAATAGAATATATAGCGCAATTTTAATGCTACTTAGCGAAGTTTGCGTGACTAACAATTGGGTATAAAAGCGCGGTGGCACCTTCCACAAGAAATAGTGCATTATCTGGAGCAAGCGAGAAACCTGAGAAGACCATTATGAAGACCGTCGTAATTCTGATTGTGCTGATCGCTACGGTGAGTACTGTATAAAAAGTCTTCTCAAGCTATATATCAAAAGTCTATACTCGCGCTATTTCGATTTTTCTATACTAAATTACAGAATTTGTTCGTACATTGTCTAAATCAGTTTTGAATGTATGATTACATGTTTCACATTTCATTGTTTCAAATATAGCTGTGAATCGATATTTAAACGTATACGAGATAACACGAAATCTGATTTTGTACTTAAGTCGTAATGTAATAGGTTCTGTTTTTAATAATCACATGTTTATAAAATATTTTCTCTTTGAAGTGTAAGACAACTTATTTTCCTATAGTTTACTATTTCTTACAACTAGCAAATTTGCAACGTTTGATAACGTTTCAGAAGGAAAGAATTTTTACGTATTTTAGAGTAATTAATTCTCATGGATTTTAGGGAGTGGTTTACGCGGACAACGAACATGTACAAAGATGGAGACAAAACTATGTGGAATGCGCTCAAATGTTTGGTGTGCCGAGTGAGTATAATAATTACGGAAGAAATAATATGAAAAATAATATTATTCTGCCTTGTAAGAATAATTTTCTTACAGAAAAGCATGAAATAGTTTATTTGAAATAATATGTTAATGTCTGTCTAAAACTAAATTTTTCTCTTTTCTCGTCTCAGTTGACGTCCGAATCGATCTGATATTATGCTCGTTGATCAAGGAGGGTGATGTAAGTATATTTCAGTTAGTTAAGAATACCGATTCAATTTTTGAATTTAATTTAACTACAAAAACTTCAGTGAAAACAAATTATTCATCAAGTAATCAACATCATTATGTATAATTGCAAAAGTAAGCTTTTATTATGACATTTGAAGCGTCCACGATAAATAAAAATATGCGGTTTGACTC